ATCCTGTCCAACATCGCTCTGGCCATTCAGGTGCACTTTGAGCTTGGAGGTGGCTCGAGTATTGTGCAGGGTAAGCACACTGCAAACATATTGCTTGTGCTTGGCTGGAGTAGTCTACTAACATGGCCAGGTCAAATGTTCAGGGTATTTTCCAGGCTGCCAAAGTCACAGGCTTGGGTTGCGCTGCAGATGACGTCCTCGTAGACAAATCACTGTGACTTTGAAGTAGGTAGGTCGTTGATGTAAATATTGAAGAGTGTTGGGGCAAGAACAGACCCCTGAGGGAGTCAACTCTTTTGCATCTGCAAGGAGCTGATCTCGTTGTGTTGAGAAGCTCTTGACGACTCGGAGACAGTTTACAAGGTAAGGGCTTGCGCCGGTGCTTTACTAAGGGCTTTCGCCAGTTAACTATAAGGGTGCAACACTTTCCCAGGGGTAGGGGTCCCAGGCTTGGTCCTCCACTCGGACCTTCCACCCTGTCTGTTCCCTAGCACAGCCGGCTGCCCGGGCTGCGTCCTCTGCGCCGGCCGAGGGCTAATCCAACTTCGGCCGGCCGAGGAGCGCAGCCACTCCTAGCTCCTACGTTGGCCTCTCTCCAGATCCCCGTCCCCTTACCCCTGGTCCTAACTCCCACACGTCTCGTTCCCTGCTCTCTGCAACGACCTCTTAAGTAGCCCTCCGAGAAATGACGTCATCTCGCTGGCCGGCGCGCATGACGCCACCTCCTGTGACGTCACCGCCCCTGTCGGCGAGCGTGACGCCATGTCCCCAACTAGTCATCTACAGTTGTATATGTTCATTTGTAAGCAGGGCTTTTTGAGAATCTTAATGGTGTTCACTTCTGAGTGTGGCAGAACTCGTGGCAGCTTTAACAGAAGTCCAGTGTGTAAACGCCAGCATTTTGGAGACAAAGGCGGTCGAGTGTAGTGTTGCCCACTTCACACCCTTGTGTGCCATGCAAGCATTAACACGTGCTGAAAAAGAGCACTTGTGCCAAGAATTTTGAAAGGCTATACGGGGGATCTTTGTCTTTGTGGGTATCTAATTGGTAGATTGGTAGCCAACTTTCACCATTAAATGGTGTTCCGCAAGGCTTGTGTAATCTCACACATTACTTATTATCCTTATTAATGATGTACCATCTTCCATTCACTATGCAATCCACTCCTTTGCAGAACACAGTACTCTTCATGCATCACACTCATTTACAACAGCTGAAAGTAGTTGACTTTTAGCTGCCCGACACGCATATTCTTTACCATCAATCCCAACCAATTTGAAAACTATACTTGGTTAAGGTGACAAGAACCTGAACGCATTCAACTCAAGAAAGGAGTGACGGGGGGAGAGAGCTGCAACGCTTTTCTTATCCATAGCGAAACCATCAATCTGCTTGGCACAACTATAACATCTGACTGTTGTGGAATGGCTGCATTACGAAATTTCAGACAGCACAAAAGCTTGGTTTTCTTCTCCGTACCGAAACCCTCATCTGTAACTCTGAACAATAATCACTGCTGCTGCAATACAAGGCAGGTTTTCGGTCTAAGCTGGACTATTGTTTAATATCTGGGGTGGAACACCCAGTTCCTACCTCACTGCACCTGAGAGTGTAACAGTCCTCCCTAATGGTCCCCACATCAGCATTCTCTACCCCCGACACGCTGACGACAATCCTGGCACCTACTTAACCGGGAGCAACCCCCGAGGTATGAAGGGGAATGGTAACTGGACACGAGGAGACATGATCCGAGATGTGATAGGTGATTGGTGGCTGGGAATGATGAGACATGGTTGAGGGAGGGGGAATGAGAGAGGGTACCGTGGGGATAAGAGGGCACGTCAGAGGAGTGACAGGTGAGAGAGAGAGAGAGAGCTGCAGATGAAGGAGGGAGCTTTGTGTGAGTTGATGAGGAGTGTCTGTGTTGCACTTCCGAACTGTACAGCATCTATGTCCAGTTCAGTCATTTAGAATGAGTTTTTTTTTAATTAACTCGTTGGTGGACATGCACACAATAATGGACGTGAAGACTTCTCCAGGGTAGATTGGCTTTCATTCTCCATCTCCAACTCGAAATCTGTACATAGGGGAATGCCACGCTCAGCTCTCAGCGCACATGTTACAGCACATGCGCCAAAACACTTGACCATACTCCTTGGTTCTTTCGGTAAAGAACCAAAGAGTATGGATTCCTGCAGTCACGAAAGCTTCAAATCAAATATTGTCCATTTTACAGCCCCCTATTTCCCTACTATATACTGTTAAGGTAAAATAATAATATTAACCAATATTAACATCCTTCACTGTTAACTTTTGTAATAACTCAACATAACCACCTTAGAACTACACTCTTGAACATAAACGAACGATTGTCATCAGATACAGTACCATAAATCGTTCTACAACCACATTAGAACATGTGTACTGCGCTGGTGACTCGTTAATCTATACACTATATATAAAATTGGAAATTTGTGAATGTGTCTGTTCTAAATGTTTAGCATACTTCCCGACATGCAACAAACTTGAAATTTGGCATCTGGGTAGCTTCCAGAATGTACACAATGCAAAAAGTATTAAAATAGACTTTTGTATTTTGGGGGGGGGGGGGTGTCAATAATGGCCAAGTCTCAGGCAGAGCCGGGTAGTAAAGCTAGTTATTAATATAAACACCACATCCATTATATTAATCCAAATAAACCATTCAGAACTCGTTTATGGGCCTGGTCACAGTTACTTATGAGATATTTTTTATAGTTACTGTGTCCCTGTGAAACACTATGTCTTTACTGTAAGAATGTTAAGCGTTAACGGCACATATCAACATCACGTTTATTACAGAATCTCTACCTATCTTGTGTATTGCTGACCATAGCCACACTCACAAACGAGTCTTGAGAATAATATAAGCTTTGTAGCCGTGTTACCTTGAATTCTAAAAAATATACGTATGAAATGCGTAACATGCTTTTAAAGACTTTGTAACTTTACGGACGCCATCTTGCTTTCAGTACGTTCAGACGCCTGTAGAACGTCCGCAGCAATTAACTCCCTCAATAACAGATTCTAACATTCCCACTGGTCTCTACACCATAGCTATGGTGGCGACACTTGGTGTACATATACCCCTTTCGGTGACTCAAGCACACGCGCCTGTACATAGGAGAATGCCACGGTCGACGCTCACTCCACGTGCCGAGCACGTGCTGGGCCGCCATCGCTCCCTCCCTTCCCGACACCGACGATGGCTTCACGTCAGCACAGGCGCGGGGCTCGGGATTGCCCATGCGTGTAGGGGTGCTGAGCCTGAGTGAGTATTCATTATAATTCCAATGAATAATGTGCATTTCATCCTAGGATTCCCAGTGCGCAATGCATGAAAAGAAGTAAACAGAACCAGGACAACCGACCAAACTAACGAGGGAAGGCCACTTTAAAGAGATGCTTTTTCAAAGGAGACTTGAATATATCTACCGACTCCGATTGCCCAATTTCAGGTGGCAAGGCGTTCGTTCTATAGTTTGGGTGCCACACTAAAGCCCGATTACATTGCCGATACATTGCCTATACAAGTCAAATACTTGAGTCGTGGCCAAGCCATCTTACCTAAGGATGCAATAATTTATTGCATCTTGATGTGACTTTTTAATTGGGTGGCAGGAGGAGCGGGCTTATTTTAGACCCTGCGCCACATCTGCGACAATAGAATCAGTCAGGGTGATTGGTGGTCCAACACTCTTAATTACTCTTTGATCACTATTACCGTGGTTACGGTTCCTGTGTAATTCACTCGTTGTTCCTCGGTGTTACCGAACTGACCGTTTAATCGGATCCACACTGTTCAACCACCAACACTGCAAGTTACAAAACTTCTGATTTTATTTCTTCTCTCACACTGCTTCACTTTCGAATAGCCTCCCATCATCCCGTTTCGCAAGCACTTGATCACCTTTCTCCAGAAACATGTTATGTCTTTAATATTATACAGCTTTGTTAGTGATGTTTATTGCTGGCCGCATGACGTGTTGGACCTTAGATCATCTTCACAGCAACTTTAAGAAAATGTGTATATCTATGTTATGTATCTGGACTGCCCCATCGGTGACCTCATTCGGCAGACGTGGCTGCCTTGGCTAGGTCATGAAACCCGCATGCTCAGCCACCGCATGCCCAAACAACTTCTGTTTGGCCGGATAGAGGGGGCTAAACGGGTGCGGCACGGGTTGGAGAAGCCTTGAGTTGATGCGGTATAGGAGGATGTGGAGTTGAGTGGACTTGCCTATCACCAGTACCCGGTACCAAGTGTCAGGATCGGCCTCTGTGGAAGAAGCAACGAGCGGAGCGTCAGGAGATTAAAATGCAGCAAGTTGGCAGTGGTAAGAAAAGGTGGTGCATGTGTACGTCGTCTCGGTCAGTTAACCCACAACACCTGGGTGTCCCGTGACCTGTCAGCGAACCTTCAACACTTGACATTGCCTCAGTGCACCGAGCCTGCAACAAAAGCTGTGGTGACATCGTTGCCACTTAGTGGCCGTTGTTGCGTCTGTCTCCGTGTCACTTGGCTTGTGTCGCTGCGTTTCTCGTTTGAAGTTCATGAGCTTCCCTCTTAATAGGCAACACATTTCTGCAAGGAGCAGCAATGTTACCCGTACACGGCTTCGCCCCCGCACAGTACCTGTGATTAACTGTTATTTATTCATCAGCCCTTCATTATTTTACTGTCGGTCATGGTGATTTTCTGACCATACTTCGCCATGCTGGTCAATAATGGGATGAAGGACAGGAGAGAAGCAGCCGTGGTTGTAAATTGAACTCTGGTTGTAAGGGCTCCAAGCACGATGCTCAAACAATTGTGTGCCACCGATTCACCCCGTTATAATATATTCTGGTCAAATAAAAAAAAGCACCACAAGATTGTAGTGTTCCTATCCTGTGATTAAAATCACACAGCCGTAAAACTTCAGATTTATACACACAATAACGATGCAAATCTTGTAAGTGAAACATGAGTAAAATACTTTATATGCCGTATTTTAAATAAGACTTTTACAAGTGTCAATTACAGTCTGCACAAATCGAGAATACCCAACAGCAGCATGCACAACATGTATGTAGCGTGCGTTATTTTTAACTGTGGAGAAACGGCAGCCTATAGAGCCATGTACAAGTCTTACTTGGGAAGGGACCTTCCCTGCTGGGAGCGTGCCTGATCCAAGCCTGTTTTCAAAGTGACTGGCATGTCACCCGGATGAACCGTCCTCCAGAAGCCCTTGTGGAAATCTTATAGATTTAAGGAAAACAATTATTTCCCATTTTTATTTAATCTATACAGGTTTTCTTTGAATTATTATACAGTAGTGTTACAATTAAGCATCAAGTGTTAGTTAAAATGTGGATTTGATTAAATACTTCCCTTCTCAATATCAGGGTTTTAAGTGACGAGACGGGAGAATGCACTCAATGGTTTTTTGAACGTCAAGTTAGTCGGGCACCCAAGGCAACTGAAATATTAACACCCTCCTAAAAATAAATACTTCCCCTGAAATAAACTCATTTGGATCTAGCCTTCAGAATAATAATTTAAAACCTTTTGAATATTAAGGGGGCAGTTTTGCCAGAAGCTTTAGAAAGCGTTGACACTAACATGGCAGATCAAATGGCACTTTTACATCCAAAATACCCTCAACCTAGCATCGTGCCGACCTCCACATCACATGCGGCAGCTCGGCAAAATGCATACTTATCTGAGAAACCGACAACAAAAATTACCATTTTCTGCTGTATTGAAAAACCTTTCCTGTATGGTCAAACATTCCGCTGCCACAAACTGCAACAAAGTGTCAATTAACATAGTTTAGCACTGAGAAGAATTTAATTTAAAAAAGCAAATGGATAAACGGTGCAATAGGTATTTTTTGTGCCAAGACGTGATAGCTTGCATTTGCCTTGTATCTTAAAAGGGATTCTGGACACAACGAATAGGGGTCACGTGTATAAAATACCACGATGTATCCTGTCATTAGGCAAGTCAGTTATCAACATACAAGTTGAAGGTCGGCATTCTGCTTCCTACTCACCATCTGTCTGAAGAAACCCCGATATGCGTATCCAGATATCACCATCACGAATACAAAATGTGCTGTATACATTTTCAATTCTGAATTAAAGACTACAGTATTGAGTTTTACAATTTGAGTTGATACATCGTTTCAAATTCCTAATGTGCGTTCCACACCAAAATGCTAGGGGCTTGCATGTTGGCTGTCCATTACAAATAAGACGTCAACATTTTTACAGTATAGTGCCGATGTCTACTAGACTAGCGACACCGCTCGACAATTTCCAAAAACAGCCGTCTGCTGTGGCCTTCCCAGTGCGGCATCTTGACACACTACTTGCACCGCTCCTCCAGCGACGAGGGATCTTGTCCTTCAACAATGACTTGAAAGTTGCAGCTTTATTAACAACCACACATCGCAACATCTTTTTCATATAGAGAAAGTGTAGTTTTCAACTAAATAAACTTTAACACAGCAGTAATTAAGTCATACAATCAATATTTAACAACAGGACTTCGAACGACACCAAAATGGGACATATCAGCATGTAACAATATTCTATTCCATTGGCCAGGACACTTCTAATCAAGCCAATGCATGCCAAATCCACGTCTAATTTTAGCAACACTGACATGTCCAAGATCTCAGCGTTATGGGTCAGAGGCACCTGGAAATATGACCTTTCAAATCTCTCCCAATGGCTAAACACTGCATGCATCATTTCCTAGTGTGATTCGTGAAATGTGTCTCATTACTCAAGCTGAATTGATATCAATTTATTAGTACGTATATGCATCTTTACTCATATATAAAACCCGAATGTGAAAATGTTTATTTGTAGCATTAATCTTAATAATTGAAGAAAATACATTGTTGACCCAGAACACCGCACGGATGTGGCAATGCTAAAAACGCAAGACATTTGGAAAAACAGAAGTGCGTTCGTTGTACACGGAGAACACCTGAAGAGGGGGGGGGGGGGCAAATGGATTGAGTAGAGAAACACAGGAGATGCAAGAGATATGCAGGCTTGAGGGTGCAAACTCCAGACTTAGGCCAGCTTCAACAATGAACGGAGTAGTGACAAAAGGCATATCACAAGTGGTGTGCAACTTGGGCATGAGAAAACATCAACAACACATGATAAAATTATAATCGCAAAATGTAAATTACAGTATTTAACCAGGAAAACCTTAAATTAGCTCAATTTTTTTATTTCAGGAAGATCTTACTTAGAACGTTTGGTCATTTTCTTACGAGTATTGTTTTGCAAATGTAAAAGTTTACAATGAAACTCTATTGGGGTCCTTGGTGCATGTGAAACAGTTTTACAACTTCCCTGTTATTCATCCTAAGCACAAATTCATGCCAAGCGATGGAGAAGATGCTGTGCATTTCTAAACAAATTTAATTTGCCAATACTCTTAATACGCAACATGTCATGTGTCCAGGTATAACCATGGTTTGTGTCTGAATTGTCAGTAAAGAGAGCAGTTGTCTAACATTTTGAAAGGAAAACACAGAAGGGATACTTTGTTAGACACCCCTAATAAATGCCTACGAAGCACACACAAAGTCGGTGGTCTGTTAATCCACAAGGGTTGTATACCTTCTATCGTTGTGGGAGTACACGAGGTGCGAATTACAGGTGTCTAAAGTTATACAAGGACTCCTCTCAGCAACATGGCACTCCAATAATGAAAGGGTGTCATGTTCATCAAAAATTTGCTATTTTAATCGCCCTTTTTACAACAGGTCTTAATGCAATTAAATCGCCAAATCTTACGTAAGAGTCCGAGCTGTCCCACGTTAAGATGTTTGCAGAAAGATAAACAAGCGGTGCTTGCTCTCCGCCTTAATTAATTTGTATGTTTTGACATACATATTTCAGGAAATTTCATTGGCAAAACTTTTTAACGTAGATAGTAAATATTGTTTCATGTTCAAATGTCAACATGTATAATGTTGATGTATAAGCTGTTCCGCAAAGCGATAAGGCAGCTGCACTGCGCGCACTGCTTACAAATTGCTTACATCTATGCCCATCAGGATTCTCAGGCCAGATTTCTCAGGCAACCGACTAAGCCAGATCAGCATCACCCCCCAACGCTTGAGATTCACGTCGGATAAACGACGGACGAGCATTCATGCTTGCTTGTCAGTTCAAGCACCGTCGGTGAACATGCATGGAGCGATTTCCAAGCTGTTGTAAAAAGGGCCCAATGGTGTTGGCGGTGGTTGAGCAAGGAGGAGGATGAGTAGGCGGAGTGCGGGGACGAGCTCAGGAGGAGCAGCAGCCTCCGGAGCCTTGCTGCTGGGGCTCGTCGTCAACGATCTGCACCCCGCGCCGCGTGCTGCCGCCACGGGACGCGCCGTTCCCCTTCCCGCTCTCCTCCGACTGCGCCGTCTCCAGCATCCCTTAAACGCACACCGTTGTTATCATCATCGTCATCATCGTCATCATCGTAGTCATTGTCGTCACTGGAATCCCAATCACTGATGTCCCTACTTTAAAAGGATTCTGCGGTGGCGCTGTGTTGACTACCTTCGCCTGGTATACAGAAAAGTCGTGGGTTCGCTGCCGACCTTGACGACTGTTGTACATTTGGAGCTTGCGTGCCTCCTCCCCATGGTCGTGTGGATTCATCTCCGGGGGCCTCCGTTTTCTCCAGCCACATTTATAAACATGCATTTAGAGTATTTGGCTGCTATACATTTACACGTGATGAGCCACATCGTTGAGCTATCGTTTGAAGCCAGGTTGCTTCTGAATAAGAGCTATATAGCTCAGTGGACCGTACTTGGTAAAATTAAACATAGTTTAGACTTTTTAAAATATTTTGATACCGTTACAATATGGTCACATAAATATAACTGCTCGGCCAAAGGTCTTAGCGCGTTGATATTTGCATTGGCCTCGAGCCGTTCGCCATTTGGCATTCTCTGGTCTAACACTGGTGAGACAAGGCTATAAAGGAGGCAATCTCTGGTGTAGGCCAATCAGTTTCAAAGACAATGCATATATTATAAAAGCACATTTTTTTTGCATTTTTACCACACGCATGTGTGGTTCATACAGATGCTTTGCAATAGGTGTCTAATTTGTGTTTAAACCTCTTAACACCTCTTGTATTATTTCCAGAAAGGGTAAAGTCTATTCTTTGTTCAATCAGAGTTCAGAGTTCAAATTCTGGTATGTATGGATAACTTATTTCGCACCGCACGTAGCTAACCATGCTAATCAAAGGTGCGGAAATCAGTTTCAACTCGGTCTATTGTCCTCTTTAGGTTAATAAAACGGACACTACTATGTGGGAAATTGACAGTGGGCAACCTAAGGAGAGACTGGCCCCTGCACTTTGACTTCAACATAAGACAGTGGGAATCTCTCGAGGTGATTTCCATATTGTCAAATGGCACAATAGGCTCAGGATCTCTTGCCAACATCAGACTGAAGGGCTCATAATTATAATAAAAAAATAATATATATTAATCATTAAGGGAACAACATACAACAACATAGGTTTTGATCGGCACTTGTATTCTCAATCAACCAAAGAACACGCATGAGATTATGTTTTGGAATATCTACTGTACTTTTGCAAAGGTCCAGAAAGAGCTCTTCGATGCCCTTGTTTTGTTTGGCGGATGTATGAAAGTGCTTGGCTCCTACTGACGTCGCGTACCTATGAACACAGGCAAACACACAAACAGACATGAGGTCACACAGCTTGGGAAGAATGCTCGAGTAATCGCTGTAATAACTCATATCCAATGGCCAATTCACTCGAGAGTGTTGGGAGTTAAGCACCAGGCCCAGGTGGCGTAGCATTCTCAGCGCTGGTTTGGCACCCTGCACCAGGTCCTCAAGTAGGACACGGGGCGGGGCCACATGCTAAATACAGCGAGATATAAATATCCTCTTATGTTCAGGCATATTCGTGCCTCATTCAAGCCTCTGAATAAAATTAACTTGAATGTAGTCGGTGCCATTTAGTGTGGAATCTGAATTAATGGAAATACTGTACAGGTATAGCTCGACTGACAAACGTTTAGTTTATGGAATTTGCATTCATGCGATTGACAAATAATAGACACTTTTTGATTAATAAAATCTAATTTCCGCGTAAACCAAATTTCACGCTGCACCCAGAAAGCCACGTCATCCATCCACGACAGCATCATAGTATCCCGACAGTGGAACAGGAACATCTCCACATCACCTTTTCAGTCATTACAACATGCGGATATCTTGGCGATTTCTCTGAAATGGTTGTGATTAACAGGTCCCTGCAGGGTGGGCTGGTAGGAACATTGGAATTTTGCGCAATTTTATGACATTGTTATACTTCCAAATGTTGGGTGCAATATGACATATCAAGTCTCTGCGCTGTCTATTGCTGATTTTACACCCAACAGCACGAGATTTCACTTCGTTAAAGTATTGAAAGGGGACGGACGGACGGACACATTAATCTATTGCAGGCTGGTACACTCAGTTTACAACTTCGTTCCTACCAGTATTAACTCCCTACACACACCACCATGGAAATATGGTACAAGAAGAATTCCTCATCACTCAGCATAGGGGTGTTTAGACAAGTTTCAAGGAAAATGTGACTTAAGCAAATTAATTCAGGTAATGCTCCAAATATGGGAATTACATTTGCACACAGTAACCATCCAATTGCTGAGACGGGGGGGGGGGGGGGAGGGGGGGTTCTCAACCTTTTGGGGTCTTCACAGCCATGTAAAGAACACCGCTCTATGCTACATTAAGGTGGCAATGGTCCATTTCTCCAATATTGCCAGTATGACTTGTGTTTAAGGTGACACAGAAGGGCACAACAGGTGAGGGGGGCCACTGCGAGGTGACCGCTATCTCACCCAAGATGTGGAACACAAAAGCAAACCGCCGTCGTCGACGCTCATTCAACGGAGGAATGTCAAAACTACACAACATCAGCCCTCTCATCGTGGCCAGTAGACCCCGACGTTGGCATTGAGCTCCTGAAACATGTTGCCATCATACGAATGGAAATAAAAACATTGTGTCAAGACTGACTAAAGTGTGGGAGTGGTTCAAGTTGCTTCATTCCTGCACTTTGATGAGGAGAGAATGGTGGGTCCACTGAACCTCGGAAATGTTGCTGAAGAAGTACATATGGAGATGTGCAGAGCCCTTGTGTCAATGGACTGCTGGCTGTAGGTCCCGTCACACCCGAGTGGATCATCGGGGCTATTTGACTGCTCGCAGAGTGCAAAATGAGAGAAATGTAAACTCCTTTCCAAGTGCTAAGGTACTCCACTTGGAGAGATGACAACTAGACAAGCGAGTACTTTTCAACAGATGTATCATTATCTTTAAGGTTTGATGTGAGATGTGACATCACACTCCGTGGTATAGAAACTTCATCAAGTCTGCATTAGAGAAAGCTGTCAACACAAGCCGGATCTCTCACCTGAACATAAATGCCCCCAGCAAGAGATGAGTGGAATGAGAAATATCACCAGAGCATTCGTGGCATTTCCATGACTTATTATTTTTGCGTATAATTCGTAACGTGTAATGCAAGTGTATTGGACCCCTTGATTACGTAGAAGTAATGAGCATAAACTATTGCGAGACAATGACGCTCATACGCACTCGACAATCTTGTCTGAAAATCTTCCGCCGAAAGTGAATAACGGCAAAAATCACATCCAACAATAACAGGATTTAACAGCGACAAGGGGACGTGTACAAAGAAGAGTAAAAGTAAAAAAGTATCTGTAAAGTAGAGAAAGCACAGAAATGTCCACGCATTATATATATTGTTTAATTCAAGTACTCACTCCTCGGCTTCCTCCACGGACACGTGCCTGTCTTTCTCAAGGTCTATCTTGTTACCTGTGCACAAAACAAAAATTGGACATTTACAAAATCAATGCAGCAAGCTCAAAGACGATTTTATACAGGTCACAGGAATGTGCTTCAATTATTTATCAGGCAAATTACACATTTGACTTATACCATGCATCATTCTAAAAAAATATTCCTCTGTTCGTATTTATTTGCTTAATATTGTAAAAGGGCTTTTTCCTTTGCCATGAATGTATCAGCAGCATTTTGGAGCACTCAAATCTGCATACTTAATGGTGAGTCCCGTACCAGAAGTTTGTGGGCCGAGTTGGAGATAGCTATGTATAAACTATTGTTGTTGTTAACTTTTATAATGTGCCTCCTTGAGCATTCTCATGCTTTGCAACTGTGAAAAATGTACTGGTAATTTACCATGGAAAACTCTTAGAAAATACCAGGCGTAAGACACCAATAGGCCTATTTCCAAGACTATTTTAAGCACAGCTACCGACTGACTCACCCTACAACAACGAATTTGTTTTCCGGCATGTGTTCAAGTAAAGCGGGTATAACATTAAATAAAAAATAGCTGTCCATTCCAATTGATATTCATTTGGCTATGGCAAATGCACAAAGAAAGTTAACACCTGCACCTTCGTGGCTCGCTGGTAAACATCAAAATTTCATTTAACCGACACATTTTAAATGAGCATCAAAATGTATTTCGATATCTGAAAGGATATAACACCGATGTTGACAGCATATGGTCAAGCAGCATTCTTTCCCAATAACCCATACGTGTGCCTACTTATAAAGGTCCGACATTCAAGGATGCAACCGGTTCATCCACGCTGCTCCAGAAATCTTAGGGCCTCTATGGACCTCGCTGTTCTCAAGTTCACTATCAACATCATTACACTTTTCTAACCTATCAACCCACGTCACTATTTTTTTCATGTACTTGATAACATTTGTCCTCTTCTTGGTTCTTTCGGTAAAGTGACTTTACCGAAAGAACCAAGAAGATGAATCCCTGCAGTCACGAAAGCTTTAAATCGAAATTTAACATTTGTACTGTCTGAGGATGCCCATGAAAGAGCATAGTAGCTCATTGGGCCCTTCCTGCTGAAATGTTTTAAATCAATCATGTTGTATCCGTGTGCTTTATTGTATATATCCAACGCAACCTGGGGTTTAGACAAGTTGCCAAAAATAGTTGCGATTAAATATTAGCCATGATTTAACAAAGCAGAATTCTGAGACGACCAAAGATGAGCTTCGAATTAGTAAAGGCTCTAGAGCAACCTATGGCTCACGAGCCAGATGTGGCTCTTTTGATGACTGCATCTGGCTCGCAAATAAATCTTAGCTGACATTTCTTAACATGATAAGTCTTATCATGTTAAGAAATGTCTTATCATGTTAAGAAATGTCGGCTAAGATTTATTTGCGAGCCAGATGCAGTCATCAACAGAGCCACATCTGGCTCGCGAGCCATAGGCTGCCGACCCCTGCTCTAGAGCCTATTGACATGCACTTAAAACTGCTTCTGAAGTGAAGACAAAACTGAGACTGGTTTTTGTTTCCTCTGGGCCAATGTAGGTATTCTGACATTTGACATTCTAAAAGCACGTAATAATATGAAGGTAGGTAAAGTTACATCAAGAAACTGAACCACTCAACTTAAGCTGATATGGCATTGTTTAAAAAATCCGAGTTTAATTTGAGCCTCCAACTAGCATAAACTTCAAAAATATATTTTGTAAACATTCTTGTGAGCTCCTATTTCATTTGGCATTCTGCATAATTAAGCACACATACAGTATTACCCTGCTTCCTTAATTATTACATCAACAGGAAGGTACAATAAATGTATCATTTTTAGTTAAAATTAAATACATCAGCAGAAACTTTGCAAGGGCTTTCAAACTATACTTACCACACTCTACCATACTTGACAATAATTTCACGGAAATAAGCATGTACGCAAACATGATTTGTATCCTTTTGAATGTTTTTTTGTACGAGTGTCTGAAATGTATGTTTTTTTTCATGGATTTTCTGTTTGCACAGTCACATAGTCACTTTAAGATGTTTTTCTTGTTCGTGTTTTTTGTTTTTTTGTTTGTTGTGGTTGCACCAGATTCAAGAGCCGAATGGCTCACAGGGCTATACCAAAATAAATAAACTGAAAACTGAAACTGGTACAATGACATACCTACTATACATAAACAGATGTCGTTTCCAAGCATTTTCCTTAATTCTTTTACCCAGTTTTTGACCTGTAAGCAAAGACAGAAGCACAAACACACGTGGCAAATGTAAGTTGTAATACATCACACTGATGGCCTTAATCTAAGTTTTCTTGTGGGTGTTGTTTGACTTGCATCCCACTGGGATTTTTACACACAGCGTTGGTGTACGGTGATTTTCAGGCATATTTTGCTGTTTTTTTTCCCATGGATTTTCTGTTTGCACAGTCACACAAAGTCACTTTAAGATGTTTTCTTGTTCGTGTTTTTGTTTTTTTGTTTGTTGTGGTTGCACCCGATTCAAGAGCCGAATGGCTCACAGGGCTATACCAAATAAATAAACTGAAAACTGAAACACTATCAAATTCAAAAGCATTGTGCTGCAATTCATTTGCACAACGATTGTAATGGATAAATAGACTCTAAATGAAAGCAGAGGTGTGCTAGGAACCCATTAGTCCAAGTTATATTATTGGATATAGCAATAATAATATATATTTTTGATAGAGTGCCCTTTATGCCAAGTGTCTTAAGAGTCCTTCACACGTGACAAGTTATTCATATCTCATATCAAACATATGAAAGGGCTATTATTCATTAAGGGAACAAATAAAACAGCAGAAATCTCTAATATATTTATGCATGCAAGTTTAACTTCTTTCGCGCCGTACATAGCCAACTGTACTAATCGGACAACTTTCCACAAAACACATACTGGCTAATATATAATAGTTAATTCTGGGTAAACAAATTAAGTAAGTCAATTGAGTTCATAAGACACAAATATAGTAATTGCATTGTCCTATTTAAATATACTTACGTGTGATGGGTCACTGTGCGAGCATATGGTCTTTGTGTGAGTCAGCAGGTCTCTGTGCAAGTGCATGGGTCTGTGTAAACTCGTTTTCAAACAGCGTTCTCAGAGGACAGGACTGGTTCACAGTCGCTGTGCCTGGAAGCCGACAGGAGATTTACAACCTATACATTAATTCATAACTGCTACTCAATCTATATCCATACGAAAGAAGACTATACTGTCTACATGTCAAAGAATGAAGAGGGTAAGTGTGCTCATTTACAAAAATACTTTCAATTGCTAAAAATAATCCCTAATAGGAATGCGTGAAATTATAATGAATGAAAATTGGGTAATTATACCCATTATGCTTATTCCTATCAAAATACAGTAGTGCTAAACATAACTTGAATTCCAATTAAAATTGAAACGTTATGGTATTAACTTTATTGAATTAGGAAAACAAGTTCTAGTCAACATGTTTGGAATAAAATACTTTATTCAAGTCAGTTATTAAGCATGTAAACAGAGCAGAGATTACATTTTTTGCATTTTGTTAAAAGGTTATGCCCCAATATACAATGCATGTCATGCACACATGTTAAATTAAAAAATATCGTTTCAACATGACAAAACCCAGCACCAACAACATGGGTAAGTCGACCTGGATGTGACAATTCTGTAATCAGATGACTACACTTACCTGATAAACTGTTCTGTGTGTATTTGGCAGACTCCACAATGATTAAAAAATATAAATTGATGTAGAGCCTTAAAATGCGGTATCATTTAGTGACAACACATTACATAAAGTAACAAATTATAAAGATTAAATGATTAGTTAAGACTTGAACAAGACAACACTGACATCACGGAGACAGGTAGGATTAATTTTGGAACTGGTCTAGTTGAAACAGGTCCACACAGGTTCCATAACCAGGACAAATGGTGGTTTATAGCTGGTGCGGTAAACGGTACCTTCTGAAAGGAGTCCTCATCCGTGATGTCATACACGAGAATGGCTCCGTTGGAGTCACGGTAATAGATAGGCCCAAGTGCGTGGAAGCGTTCCTGGCCTGCCGTGTCCTGAACACACCGGGTACAGGAAGATGCGCTTACAAGTCACTCAATTATAACACTTGGCACATTCACCCATCAATTAATTAATTACGTATGTTGGCAGAAGTGGTTGAAAACTTTTCATGAAGAACTTTCCAAGAAGGATTTCCTGGATCCATTCATATATTTGTAAGAATGTTTACAGGATTGGGAGAGCCGAGAATGGTGGAGTGAGATGAAAAGTTTGGCTGCTTGCAATGTTGGCATGGTTTAGTTTAAACATTTGTTGCAGTGCTAGTCCCACCCAAATGTATTTCTATACAAGCAAAGACACTGCCACATTACACTACCTACTTAGATCGTGGAAAAAACCCAACACAAAAGGAAACAAATTTATAGAAAATGTGTTAAGAATGTTTTTCCAAAAGGAGATACCGGAGGGAGCATGAACTAAACTGAGATACCTGCAACAGCTATGAAAATCTGGCTTCCTGTCTTCTGATTCAAAACAATTTTACAAGATCGATGTGGGGCATGAGCATGACTTCACGATCCCGTACAAACCACACTGCATCATGACCCAGTCAGTGGGGGAAATCCCAGAGAGTGAACACAGCCACACACCCTGGCATTTAGAACATAGCTGAGAGGATCCGTAATGTGGCAGTGCGTCAGTAAAACAAAAGTGGAGCGGTGACTAGCACATCATGAATGTTATACTACAAAGACACTGCCGCAATAGTATAACATACAGATACTGATGTATTGGTATGGATTAGTATATAAATATTTTTTAATTCAAACCATAATTCAGCGATGCTAAAGTTACAGCTGCCACCATGAATAACAATTACATTCACCAAACAAGAGCTCTGCAGTGTGGAAGTAAAAAAAATCGTACGTAGATTTCCTTCAGCCGTGCAGCAAAAAGACAAGCGAAAATAAATAATAATCAAACTACTACATGTGCTATATGGAGGACAGAAGAAATGTGTAGTACTCGCAGATAGGAAAAAAAAGCAGACAACAACCTGGCATGGTAATCAAGGGACCGAGGGGTAATAAGCATGCGTCACGTGCTGGACTCACGCAATTGTTTTAGGAGGAAGCCAGTTCTCGGTGCGACCAGCACTGCCCTCCTGTGGTGTTTTAGGAAATAGATTGAGTTGTTTTTTTTTTCTCTGATGCGTATTTATCTTGTCTAATGGGCTACCACGGTCTGAAATGGCGAGGACAAAGTGGCGTTGGGTTCACGACTGCGTTGGTTGTTTTCGCGGTTCGGCTGTGTAGCTCTCTTGTACCGCGTTGGTTGGCATGATTTGTACCCAGATAAAAAAAAAGCTCCACCATGAATAAACATGAATATTCAGAGATAATTATAGGTACACCATGCAAATACTGCATTGAATGTGCCCGGTTAATTGGTCACGACTCATACGTGACTGTTGGATGTTATGTGAAGTGATGGCCGATTTTTTGTCGTAGTGTAAAAGTTTGCTGGCTTCTATATAATCCCTTCCAACAATTAAACACGAAATTATGCATCCCATTCAATCATGCTAGGGGAATCCGCACTTTCATGGAATTTGGCAACAATATTCTTCAATATATTCCTCTCCGAATCCAACTTGGGGAAAAATTCAAAGTGTGTGTGCAGATTATAGCCTTTTTCCTTTACAAAATCAAGTCTGGCGAATAACAGCAAAGCACCTGTAATTTTCCCACCCTTCCTGGCAAAGGCGACAGCCACCACTAGCAGGGCATCCTTCCAGGAAATGAACTTCAGGCAAGCCACGAACTCAAATGAGAGGTATTTGCATCCGTTATATATTTTTCCCCCAAATAATAATACAAATACTTATCTAGACTCGTATATGAATAATAATAAAAATACTACTCTAGACTCGTATGTGAGACCAGTTCTGTAAAAACTAAAAGATAGCCCGCACCATCTTCATATATTTCTGACTAAATAAAAAAAAACATGATTAATGTGAAACCCTAACTTTATAATATCCTAAATATATGAAAGATTACATTGAAACCAATGTGTAAACGCACTGCTCAAAATGAAACAAAAATTAGTTAAGTGACAATACTGCTACCCATGGCAAGTTTAAGAGCACAGTTGTAACGGCACAGAACCATTAAAAAGTCAATAGAATACATGGAACAGGGCACGTAACCAACACTAGAAGAGCCGAGCATTATTTGAATTGGTCATGGATGTGAGGTATCGGTCTGGTCTGACCTCGTGGGCTTTGGTGATCATCACTCAACAAGCGTCCATCCTAAAGCTGCCTCCGTGTGGAGATCCGATCCTTGCACATTCATCCATCACGAACACACTTATCTTCACTCAATGGTCCACATACATTAAAGGCAACAGAGCACGCACGAGCGGTTGACAGCTACATAGACACTACAACTCCTCGGTGTCGATTTTTTTTCCCTTTCAATAAACCATAAAAAAACTGCATCGCACGCATCCCCAGCACATAAAAAGAGCATAATAAAACACCTTTAAGACTAATTGGAGGGACATCCTTCCGGTGATGGAAACGGTCTGACACCCTGCAACTAATTAAACAATGCACTATGACATATAAATTATACAGACACAGAATTTATGGGACGGCAATCTCTACCAGGCGATTTAAATGCTGTGCATATTAAAACAAATCCCCGATTGAAAATGCTGAGCAGTTGCAAATAATTTACTCGAAAAATATTTTCATACGCATGGAAAAACAGGGAGATTTATTTGAATAATGCCCCAATAAAAATTAGGCTTCAGCTATTCTTCCAAAGTAGGGACTTAACACCGTGTTAAATTAAAGATCTGCAATCTGTAACAAAGCACAATGAGCTTAACATAGGCAACACCTTCATGAAAGGCTGTACTCCAAACTTATTACTTATCATGTAAAATCTGTTAAACTCAAAAAAAATTTGGGAGTGGGGAATCTAATCCAACTTCCCTTTATCATCATCCACAGTTTGTTTATTGTAGCAAACTAAACCGATGTAGTACATTTATGTCTCGAGAATGTGTCCGCGCCTTCACTCGCCGCCTCCAAATGAACCGATCTGCATTGAACTGATCTGCATTAATTCATGGCCATTGCTGCCACACTTTTGACTGTTGTCAGTAAAGCTCTTTGTGACTGCAACTTGAGAATGCCATTTTTGGAGAGAATGTTAATGCAAAATGGGAATTGTAATGGTAATTCTTGCTGCAATAAATGCTATGTTAAATGCTATATGCGAGTTCCTCCCAGAAGTTTCATGCATAATGCTAATTTGGACGACTTACTAGATTTCCATTGTATATAGTTCGGTTGTTTACTATGCATGTTGAAACAATTTCCCTCCTTTTGTTCTATGCAGCCCCTATAAATCGTCCCCGGCCATGTAATGTGCTGGCTATATTACATCAGTCGTGTTGGCCAGGTCACCATTGAAAAATATATTCTTAGCTCAATGGGCCTTAGCCGATATAAACTTACTGACTGACCTGCTGAGTTCGTGTTATTCTTGTTTTCAGATTGGTGCTGTGTAGAAGTCGCAAGTGCAGTGGTATATTTTCCAATTCACTGAGGTAACTGTGTTGTTTCAATGTGCCTTTCATCAGGCCGTATATTGTTCTTGTAAAAAAAAAGGAAGCTTCAGATAACATTGCAAATGCTCCCGCTGCTGCAAATGCGTTTATTGTTGTGCCAATTCTGAAAGTGGTACTGTGTGTTCCAGACTTCAAGCAGTGTGCCATTTAAAATAAATAAACATTCCTTTATGCGTGCATACACAAATATTACTATCTTTGTGCACCGCTTGGTATATTTCTTGGGTCTCTAAAAGTTTGTCCACGACTGCTATGTCCGGTGGGCGATACTCAGCAGTGGTCACATCCGCTACATTGTTTGAAGGCAAATATCTGTTGCAATAAGGTGCTTGCCACCGTCACGGATTTCTGTTTGCATGAGGCACTCATATTATTATCCACAAAGTAAACGCTGTTTGTGCGGTAACTACATAAGCGAATTAATACTTTATGCATAAAGGCTGGACGGACAACCACCTTTGCAATGGAATGGGATTTATAAGACACGTGAATAGCTGTACATCGAGGCACATGTGCCCATAGTTCGTTTCACCCCTGAATCACCAGGCCTCTTGCAACCAAACATCCAGCACATGGATAGATGGATGAAATCAAATCAATATTAAACTGTTTTATGTCATTACAGAAAAAGATGTTACATACGATACTGCCAAGTATTGTAAAATAATAATCATGAAGAGTCTTTGTGGAGAAAGTCCATGACAAAATAACTAATGCCCCCTGTCGATATCGTTTTTTTCTTTCATATAAACAAATAAATGTAAACTAAAAACAAAACTATTGTTATTTTACCAAGTAAGGCCGACTGAGCTATATAGCTATATAGCTCAGTGGGCCTTACTGAGCTATCATTTGTAATCAGTCGTACAAATAGCTTAACGAAGTGGCTTATAAAGTGGAAATTTATAAAAGCCAAATAATATAAATGCATGTTTCTAAATGTGGAGGAAAAATCCAGAGGACCCGGATAAAGAGCCATGTGATCACGGGGAAAACGTGCCAACTCCAAAAATACAGGCGTCAGGTTTGAGATCGAACCCCCAACCTCCTGTATACCAGGTGAGGTAGTTAACATCTCGCCACCGGATTGGCCAGATGCCCTTCTGGGAGTGCATCTTAACAGAAGCAATGGTTCAATGCAAGCAAGATCTGAATAGATTTAAACACTCAAGAGTCTTATCAGCTGCTAGAATCAGAGTCTGTATTTAGGCTGGTGGAATCCGATGAGCTATGAAGCTCTGTCCAGTAGGGGTGGGTCAGCGAGTTATTACACAAATAGTACAAAAAACTGACATAAGAGCAAAAATTATTTTAAAAAGTAAGCAAGTCACTAAAAATAAGTAAATATAAAGAGCACAAGCACAAATTCCACAAGTGCATATGTAGTGACTGAATCGGAGACACTAAGAGTTGGAGGCACTCTGTTTATTAACAAGCACCAACAGATTAACACTTCCAAATAATCCGTCTATAGTCGACTATGGCTCCTAGTCAGGACAGTGGGTAGACTGCCTTATTGGCGACACCAAGATGGTGAAGACGGAGATGATGAGAAGAACGGTGAAGACTCCAGCAGCATGACGGGGATCCCACTCCAAACGACAGCCCCGAGGTCCCCCCTCGGGGCCCCTCTTTTACTGTCAGCGTGGCCTGGCTCCGCCCCCGGCCACACCCTCTTTCTAGAACCTACTCGCAGGTTCCTGGTGTGTCCCTTCCGTGACCTTTCCCCTAGATCCCCCTCTGGTGTATTACGTGGCCTGCTGCTGTCAGGGCTGCTGCAAGCTGCAAATCACCTTCCCCGCCAGCATTAGCACTACGCTGCTACATAGATAATTATATGTCACGACGCATACATTCCTGCTAATTAGTCAACACCAAATGCTAGCTTGGGCAAGGCAGCAAAACAACAGTCACAGACCAAACCAAGTCAGGCTTACATGAAGCAATGCTAGTGAACTGCCAAATGCTAATTGGCAAGGAACCTTTGAATTAGACATCGGTCCTCGCCAGAGTCTGACGCAAAAGTTTCTAATACATTCCACAAAATAATCATGCTGTATGTAAGATGCACTCCAAGAAATCAGTTTGGTGGATGGGCTGTGTACAACAATACTTTCTTTTTGTATGTGGAGATAGATATGGCAACAAAAAGTTAGTTATATATTAAATGACATAATTAGCATGAGTTAATCAACACACCATCAAGTTGAAGAGAAGGTATATGTATGTATGTGGATGAAAATTATTGCCTGCTTGAGGTTTATAAAACAGTAAAATGTTAATGTGTTCTTCAGGGGACTGGAAAACCTGAACGTTTGTATTTGAGAAAACTTTAGATCAGAGAATGCTATTTCCTGCCATGAAAATCAAGTGACAGAAGCAGAAATTCCATGCGGAGATGTATAGAGTGACAAAAGCAGATGAACAACTGGTCCGGATGTGTGTAGATTGAGATAATCACAGAGCATGAGAGGGGGCATGGTGTGAGAGAGAAGCTTATAGAGGGGGATAAACGGCACAAGAAAGACAGGGGAGAAAGGAGCAGTGTAGGAGGAAGTGACAGCTTGAAATCCATGCTCATGTCTCCTGTGCCATCTCCGTCTCTGCTTCTCGCTCCACCCCTCTGCCGCCTCTCACTCTCCACATATTTCGCTTCGCATTAACCCAAAGCTCACTTATGACGACACGTCACAGGGGACAAGTAATTTTAGAGCGCCAGGCCACATTAAAGGAAGTGGAAACAGACAAAGGGCAGGGAAGTGAAAAACGAAATATAATGCGACGTTTTGTGACAAACTCTAGAACTACATTTGTTTTTATTTTGACAATGGTGGCAGCAAACAATTAGTCACTCATTGCAGTGCTTTCCTTGAGAATCAAAATGATAGCATTCGCAAATTTATTACATAAGTTAATCCAGAAAAGAAAACACAAATGTTAATGACTATGAATGAACACCCTTATAAAAGATGAGTACCTCACACATTGGCGGTGCCAGACTACTTTTCTGAGGCACTGGACCCGTCTACAGTTTTGCTTTCAGAAAATAAGTACCACAATATAACATAATCGACAAACCAACTGCGTGGCAATCAAACAACAAAATAACTCCAAAGCAGTAGCTTCATCAGCCATTGTAAAATTCTGGCAGTGCATTCTAATTAATCTGCAGGACGTGTTGTGCTCAACTGGAATATGTGGCGTTCAGTGCTTGGCAGGAGCCATGCATCAGCCATGCACTGCCACTACCGCACAAGACGTAGCGGTGAGACCATGGCATCAAATCTCAACGTCTTGCTTTTATTGTATTTTGGAGACCACATATCGTCGATAACACTGCCTTCAAAGGGAACGTATGCAGTAGGGGACGTTTTGAGCGATGGTCCTTGTTCACAGAGGTCAACCTCTCTAACCTCTCCGGCCTCTCTCTGTGCTGTGAACGGACCTTGCCCCAACATGCCAACTGCTATATACTTTTACTTTCAAGGGAGATTGACGGATGAATGCAGTGTTATTGATAAAGGCGTCATATTTTTGTCATGTGTTTATGGACAACTTACAATGCAGCTTCAAACAACTCACTGTGCAGTGTCTCAAATGCAATTATTCTCACCCAAATGGCCAGATTTACTCTTTTCCCAGCGATATTCAGTTTCTTGGTCAAGAAGGATGCCTGTAAGAGAAAAAATACACACACATAATAAAACATGAGAATGACCAAACATGTAAACTTTTATACAACGCAAAGCATTGAGTATCACTCTGCGCATGACAAACACTAGACAAAAGCATTACGTTTGCAGTAAACCGTAGAATGTGGGAGAACATTTTAATTTATCACCCATTATTTAAGATACATATCGAGCCCTCATTTGTAGATAATTATCAATGTGAGCTAATAACTGTTAAAGAAAAGGAATGGGTTAATCTCTACACAGGAAATACAGCAGGACTTCCATAATCCATGCTGACATGGGGGAAATATTGCAGATCCTTTAAGCTGTGGTCAACCGTGGTAGCTACACCCAATACCAAGGAGAAAAAGAGACTCATGGATTAATTGGAGAAAAATGTAATTAGTATTTGGCATGTTGAATGACATCAGCAACAATGTTCAATTGGTACGTGGGTTCCACAAAATACAGCAAACCCTCTCCACCCACACTTACCAACTGCGGAATTCATGTATTCACGGATTATTATCTGTATACCAATTTACCAAATGCGGCCTAGAAATTTAGAATATCCACGGGTAAGCAGGGGTCTGCAACAAGCATTTATAATTTTGCAGGGTCACATTCTCCTCCGTGCCACCCGTAGCGCTGCGTAGTTTATCAGCTGTCCATCAGAGAGAAAGACAAGTGATGGGTTTGAGTAAAGTGCAAGTGTTATATGGGCTTGTACGTGGTGAGAGTGTTGCATCTGTGGGGCGATTCTTTGTGGTTAATGAATCTATCATTCTAACCATTTAAAAAAAAAAGTGATGTTATTCGGGATAGTGTTGCTGGTGGTGTTCCTTGTCCATTCCTGCCTCTGTGCCTGCCTCTGTGCCTGCCTCTGTGCCTGCCTCTTCGTCTGCCCACTCATCGGTCACTGATGAACCGGAGGAAGAGGGGGAGGGTGGGTTGAGCCCCTCCTCCTTCCCCCATTATCTCATTGTCCTCGTCATAATCATAGACTTATACCCTCAATATTAAAGGTATATCAAGATAATTGAATGTTTATTTACGTTTCACTGTTATTATATAATTCACTGCATTTTATTCGTGTCTAGTGAAGAAACAGCCAATTTAATTAAGCCATGACAAGTCTGACCGCAGCCTCGAACCTCCGATTTCCCATAACCCTGTACTTTACCAACCACGGATTTGCCTACGGCGGCATTTTCCAGAAACCTAATCCCCTCGGTTTTTCGAAGGATTGCTGAAACTTCCTTTCTGTCAACACCCCATTTCCACATCGACAATAGGAGCCGAGCCGTAACGTTAGTTCTTAACTATAATGATCACCATGAACCCTGAAGAGCAATGCTGAAATTTATGTCTCATATGACAAGAAGTCATGAATGAGGGCATTAACAGCAGTCGCCATAAATACATGTTGAGAAAGAAAATATCATCACTATATTCCATATTCCATCATGGTTTTCAGTTCAAACGACTATGAACTAAAGTTCAACATTTTTTTATAAACTTAAAACTATAATATAATATGCAATGTACTGTACACAAGTGGGGTTGCAAATTACAAATATATGAATGTGAGTAAAACAAGTATCTGCGTGCTTGTGCAGGAAAACATAACAAGATCCATTAAAGGGAAATCTCGTCAAATTAGTTCATCGCTGTTAAATCACGCAAAACATCAATCCACTCGTTTTAATGCATAGTTTGATAAATGCCACGTTAAAGTAACATATTTCAACAAAGAAAGCCTTTCAGAAAATGGCATGAACCGTAAAATAATTTAATGAAATTGTAAAAAAAAATCCCCTAAATAGTGCTTGTCATGGCTTAATCGGATCAGGCGATTCATTCCTTGTTGCCTCAATAGCTCTCTTGCATATACAGTCGTGAACTCTGCTTCACTGCATTTGCCAGGTAAGTACACTGCTATAGTGACAGCTATCACTTCATAATGCCCATCAAAAAAGAACCATTAACACAAAATAATCATTATAATCTTGATTTAAAGCTTTCGTGACTGCATGGATTCATCTTCTTGGTTCTTTCGGTAAAGTCACGTAGAAGGGAAATAATAAAATAATAAAAGAAAACATAATAAGATAAAATTATCACGTTTCAGCCACAACACAAGCAGCCGTCTTCAGGTGAAGAAACAGAACTGTCGGGACAACAGCGTTTCAATGAACACTGCTAAGCTTGGCAGCATCTTTTAAGCTGGGTGGGAGGAGCAGAGCGCCTTGACAAAGGAGTTTACATATCAACAGAAGAATTTAGCATTGAAGTAGCTAAGTTAATGTGATAGATTAGCAGGATGTTAAAGTCAGAAATTAGCATGTAACTGGGAAATTATATTAAACATTACACTGAAAGGTACTAAGAAATTAGCAGGATGTTGAAGTGAGAAATTAGCATGTAACTGGGAGATTAGCATGATGTTAATGTGAGGATTTAGCATGTAGCTGATCACAGAAGTGGCTATGTTAAAGTGAGAGTTTACATATCAACAGAGGCATTGAGTATATTAACGCTAAAGAACTGCAACTACCCACCTATCATACAATAAACCGACGTGAAAGAACTAAATATAAACTACATCAATATAATCAATGTACTCAATATATTCTCCAATAAGTTGAGCTATTAACATTAAGTAACTGGGTATAAACTACACTATATAATGAATACCATATAGTAAACTGATAAAAAAAACAAAAATATAAACTACATCAATATTATCAATAAACTCAAAATACTATCCAATCAGCTGAGCTACTAGCAATAAGTCACTATACATTACAATTCTATGTCGAAAAAAGTAGCGGTTTATTTTCAACGTTAGCACCACGGAAAGCGGCGAGCGTCGTTCAGACGGACGAGTCCATCTATGCTCGGAACGGAGGAGGGGGGAGAGAGAGAAACAACCACGGTGCGCTACTCTGTCCTGTGCTGCATTACAACTATGCTATAAACTAGACTACTATACATTACAATATTATACCTTCCAATCTAAACTACACTGTATAATATCGTATACACAGCCCAAGATAAAGCCCTAACATTATGTATTATATTGATATGCCTCCAACTAAACTTTTTTCTACATTACACGACTATACACCGTACTATACACTGCCATAGACAAACCCACAATTGAATTATACCATGCGTTACTATACACTACCCTATACTTTAGACCAGGGGTCGGCAACCTATGGCTCACGAGCCAGATGTGGCTCTTTTGATGACTGCATCTGGCTCGCAAATAAATCTTAGCTGACATTTCTTAACATGATAAGAAATGAATAATTCCGCTGAGATTAAAGTAAAACATTACAGAAATCACAGTGTTAAAAAAACGTTTAAAATATAAAACATTCTCATGCATTTTAATCCATCCATCCATTTTCTACCGCTCCTGCTCAGGGTTGCAGATGGCTGGAGCCAATCCCAGCTGTCCGACACCAAAACTCTATTTTTATTGGATAATGCGGTAGCCTACGGGTCGTCGTGAGGTCAAGAAGTAAACTTCCGTCCTTTTAATCAAATAGTCAGCTAGCTAATTTATGCAGAGCAAACCCTTTTGATGAAGAAGATGGCGAAAAGAAAAAAAGATGAGTACCGCACATTTCAGCACGAATGGACAGAAGAATTCGCCTTTGTGGAGAGAGCAGGTTCTGCGGTGTGTCTAATATGCAATGATACAATTTCATCGATGAAACGGTCAAATATAAAGCGGCACTTCGACACACGCCATGCTACATTTGCATCGAAATATCCAGCGGGGGACAGCAGAAAGGAGGCATGCCAAGAGCTACTGTCCAGAGTGCAAGCTAGTCAGCAGCATCTCCGTGTATGGACCAGACAAGGTGACGGGAATTCGGCTAGCTTTGCTGGTTCTTTAGCAATTGTGAGGGAACGGAAAGCCATTCACAGATGGCGAGTATGCCAAAACATTCACGCTTGATGTGGCCAACGAACTTTTTGACGACTTTTCGGATAAAGACAAGATAATCAAACGAATAAAAGACATGCCTCTGTCACCAAAAACTGTTCACGATCGTACCATAATGATGGCAAATCAAGTGGAGGAAACACAAGTGAAGGACATAAATGCAGCGCCATACTTTTCCCTCGCTTTGGATGAGTCAACAGACGTAAGTCATTTATCCCAGTTCAGTGTGATTGCAAGGTATGCTGACGGTGACACACTGCGTGAGGAAAGTCTTGCTGTTTTGCCAATGAAAGGGTCAACAAGAGGGGAGGATTTATTCAAGTCTTTCATTGAGTTCGCTAAAGAAAAAAATCTACCGATGGACAAGCTTATTTCGGTGAGTACTGATGGTGCTCCGTGTATGGTGGGGAAAAACAGAGGATTTGTAGCGCTTCTTCGTCAACATGAAAAAAGACCAATCCTAAGTCTTCACTGCATTCTACATCAGGTGGCGCTTTGTGTTCAAATGTGTGGCGAGCAGCTTGGTGAGGTGATGTCACTGGTCATTCGGGTGGTCAACTTTATTGTTGCCCGAGCTTTAAATGATCGCCAGTTTAAAACACTGCTGGATGAAGTTGGGAATCATTATACCGGTCTGCTTTTGCACAGCAGTGTGCGTTGGTTGTCAAGAGGGAAGGTGCTCAGCCGTTTTGCAGCTTGCCTGAGCAAAATCCGGACTTTTCTTGAAATGAAAGATATCGAGCATCCTGAGCTAGCTAACACTGAGTGGCTCCTGAAATTTTACTATCTTGTGGACATGACTGGACATCTGAACCAGCTCAATGTGAAAATGCAAGGCATTGGAAATACAGTCTTATCCCTTCAACAAGCAGTGTTTGCATTTGAAAACAAGCTGGAACTCTTCATCATGGATATTGAAACATGTCGTTTGCTGCACCTTGAAAAATTGAGAGAATTTAAAGATGCGTGCACAGCAAGTGACCCCGTTCAACATTTTGATCTACAGCAGCTAGCTGGCTTCACATCTGATCTCCA